CACACACACTCACACACACACTCACACACACACACACACACACACACACACACACACACACACACTTGGTTAAAGTGGTTATTGGCTGGCTGTATTTCTTGACCGAAGGGGTTTTTTATTTAGTTTTTTTGCTGCAGTGCTGCCTGTGTGTGTCTGCCTTTTTCTCACTCTTAGTTTCAGAACATATTCATACATTAATTTAATTGCAAGCTGCGTTATTATAAGCTACAGCAGTCAGATGCTAATGAAGCACATAACAAAAAAAATTCATAGCAAATCAGTGGTTGTGGAGAATAAAGTGTCTGCGCCGCTCTGAGAGTCAGGATTGACCGATAATGTGTTTTCTAGTTTTTGTATCCGTGTGGTGGTGATGATGATATTATCTCTGTCCGCTGGGGACGCTTGTTCCTCTTTTAATGTTTTAGTCTCTTTGTGTTTGTCTGCTCATCTGTTTTAAGGCTGTGATGATAAATCGATGCAGAATTGATTCGTGGATCGATCTTCCGAATGCGTGACAGTTCTCTCTGGAATGATTTCTGAGCTTATACTTTAACAGCAGATGGCTCTAGTTTTTATCCGCTCACTCAAACACTCATGAAGAAGAGCTGAAGAGCGCTTGTGTGTTCGGCTGAGTCTGTAATTTCACCTCGGCTCAGAATGCTTTTATGACGCCAGATTAATGTAAACACAGCCCACTGTGAACACTCTTGTGATTCGCTTCAACCTTCTCGAATCTTAAGAATGATTGTTTTAGGTTCGAGTGTGTGTAAGGATTTGGAAACGAGCAGAGCACGGCTGTTTCTGAAGCATGTTTCTAAAGCTCAGAATCCACTCGAGAAAGAATCGCGACGCATTCAGAAAATCTGAGAATCGATGCGGAATCATTTCTGGATTCGCGATGCATCGGTTTATTTTCCCAGTCCTCGTCTGTTTGTTGTTTTCAGTATCTGACCCGTCACTGCTGTGTTTGTGTTCAGTGTGTTTGCGTCTCCGGACCAGCAGGGCGGCGCTCCTCACGGCCCGATGGTGTTGAATACAGGCGGCTCTCTGCCGGATCTGTCCAGCCTGCACTTCCCGTCCCCGCTGCCGACCCCACTGGACCCGGATGAGCCGGGATACCCGTCTGTGAGCGGCAGCACGGGGAACCTGACCTGTACCCTCACGCAGCTCGGCATCCACAGCCCCAGCGCCTTCCACTCCACAGGTGCGCCTCTCGATGTTTTGCCCCATGATTCTTAACTAAACAAAATAATGTGTGACAACAGGGCTCCAGACTCATTCTACCCACTGGTCGCTCTTTTGCGACTAACTTTCTTAGTTGGTCGCACGAGAACCAGTGTTAATTTCGTTGACGAAAATTAAATTTTTTTCACCGACGACAACGAGACTATAACGAACTAAAACTCTTATTTTAATGACAAAAACTAGACGAAAATGTTAGGGAGGGACGATTTGGGAAGAGAACGAATCTGCTGCGTGGTTCGGAGGTTAGATGCGTACATATGAACCGGCGGGACATAAGCTAACATACACTTGCTGCACGTCGCATAAAACGTTCAAAAATGTCAATATGTGGGAGTAAGAGAAGAGCAAATAAATCTGATGATGCAAGAGAGAACTCAATTCGGTCCGCATACACTGAAGCACACACACAGAAAGCGCCTCTCACAGCGCGCGAGTACTCTTTCGCGTTGCATGAACGGAGAATTACACACAAAATTATGTCAAATTGTCCGATTTGACGAGTATTCACGTAAACAGCAGGGAGAACGTCTCAAAGTACATTGCATCCATTGCAGCTGTGCATCCGGTTTTAAAGGGACAGCAGCCTAATTTAGTTGCTATTGTCCGAGTCATTGATGTTAATCAAGCAACAAAAGAAAGACAGAAAATCACGCACTGCTCTTGACTGAAACACTTTAGTAGCCCTAAAGATTAATCTAAATTTTTTTATAGAAATAAATATGTCTGCGTGAAAAAATGAAGAATATGGTAAACAAGTTGCTATAAAGAATGCATATCTAGCCTATATAACAATTGGTATTTTATTAAAAATAAGACCATGTTCTTGTTCTTTATGAGAAGGGGTTTTATTTAGTTTTAATATGAAGGCATGTTGTGTGTCACCGCAGTTAAATCTGTGTCTATCATTATAAAACCTTAATATCAAACCTATATAATGAGTTTGTACATTTTAGAGAAATACTTAATAAATGCATTGTAACTAAACCCATTCGATTTTAGTCGACTAAATTTACTGTAGATTTAGTCGACTAAAATATGATATTTAGACGACTAAAACGAAAAACAATTCAGATGACTAAAATATGACTAAAACTAAATCAAAATTTGCTGTCAAAATTAACATTTTCGTCGCAATTTTTAATTTTTTGCTACAACATGGGATTCATCAATGCATGCTGATGAACTTTTATAGTTAACATATAACTTATCATAGTTTATAGTTAAATGGAAACTAAAGTGCTTAACATTCAACCTGTTCATTTTAATCAGTAGTATTATTTGTGATTTGATTTTTGTGAACGGGAGTTCCTCTTTTGCTGTGTTGTAAGCCGCGGGCTTCGGATGCTTTCACTTTCGAATTCACGATCTTGTCACGTTTTACAAGAAAAGATAATTGTCTGTTTTGCTTATCTGTACACCTTTTAATTTTAAGACTAAAGCAGCAAAAGATGGATTCATTGTTATTCTTAATTAAAAAGCACAACAACAATAAAACGGTAAGATACAATGACAAACTAGCTTATATAACGTTTAAGATCAGGCATGGCATACACCACGTGCTCTGTTATATATATATACAGACTAATAAATTACAGAACGTTTAGCAAACACTGAGGAATCAAATAAATAATGCCGTATGGAGCAGACGCTTTGGAGCATGCACTCGCACAAATGCAACCACGTCAAATGTTAACTCGCACATTCTAAAAATGTTTTGGTTGTAGTCTAGAGCCCTGGACAAAATATTATTGCTGCAGTCCATTTAAAAGTGTTTAATTAATTTGAATGAATTATTAAACATTTTAATATATATGCATTTAAAATATATATTTAATACACAGAAAGTGTGAAAAAGTGGTTTGAGTGAATGATTCAGTGACTCATTCATAAATACTTCAGAACACTTTATAGTGCTTTATACAGTACAGATTCACAGTAATAAACAGGAAAATAACCGAATCAATGATGCAAACTTCCTCAAATAAGAGTTGCAAGATTATTTGCAATTCATAGATTTCACATCTGAAAGAGATGCGTACGTGTGTTTTCTGTGCGTACGTTCATTCTATGAATCACACGTACGCGTATTTGAGAAATGATCGTAAGATCAAATTTAGGATGGTTTCTGCGCAACATTTTATAAATGAGGCCCATAAAAATTCTGAGCTAAATTCGCTACAACACTTTATAGTGCTTTATACAGTACAGATTCACAGTAATAAACAGGAAAATAACCGAATCAATGATGCAAACTTCCTCAAATAAGAGTTGGAAGATTATTTGCAATTCATAGATTTCACATCTGAAAGAGATGCGTACGTGTGTTTTCTGTGCGTACGTTCATTCTATGAATCACACGTACGCGTATTTGAGAAATGATCGTAAGATCAAATTTAGGATGGTTTCTGCGCAACATTTTATAAATGAGGCCCATAAATACTTGCTTAGTTTCTGAATGAATCAGCTTTTTGAACAAATTGATTGAATCACTTATAAATACTTGCTTTGTTTCTGAATGAATCAGCTCTTTGAACAAATTGATTGAATCACTTATAAAGACTTGCTTCGTTTCTGAATGAATCAGCTCTTTGAACAAATGGATTGAATCTCTCATAAATACTTGCTTAGTTTCTGAAAGAATCAGCTCTTTGAACAAATTGATTGAATCACTTATAAAGACTTGCTTCGTTTCTGAATGAATCAGCTCTTTGAACAAATGGATTGAATCTCTCATAAATACTTGCTTAGTTTCTGAAAGAATCAGCTCTTTGAACAAATTGATTGAATCACTTATAAAGACTTGCTTCGTTTCTGAATGAATCAGCTCTTTGAACAAATGGATTGAATCTCTCATAAATACTTGCTTAGTTTCTGAAAGAATCAGCTCTTTGAACAAATTGATTGAATCACTTATAAAGACTTGCTTCGTTTCTGAATGAATCAGCTCTTTGAACAAATGGATTGAATCTCTCATAAATACTTGCTTAGTTTCTGAAAGAATCAGCTCTTTGAACAAATTGATTGAATCACTTATAAAGACTTGCTTCGTTTCTGAATGAATCAGCTCTTTGAACAAATGGATTGAATCTCTCATAAATACTTGCTTAGTTTCTGAAAGAATCAGCTCTTTGAACAAATTGATTGAATCACTTATAAAGACTTGCTTCGTTTCTGAATGAATCAGCTCTTTGAACAAATGGATTGAATCTCTCATAAATACTTGCTTAGTTTCTGAAAGAATCAGCTCTTTGAACAAATTGATTGAATCACTTATAAAGACTTGCTTCGTTTCTGAATGAATCAGCTCTTTGAACAAATGGATTGAATCTCTCATAAATACTTGCTTAGTTTCTGAAAGAATCAGCTCTTTGAACAAATTGATTGAATCACTTATAAAGACTTGCTTCGTTTCTGAATGAATCAGCTCTTTGAACAAATGGATTGAATCTCTCATAAATACTTGCTTAGTTTCTGAAAGAATCAGCTCTTTGAACAAATTGATTGAATCACTTATAAAGACTTGCTTCGTTTCTGAATGAATCAGCTCTTTGAACAAATGGATTGAATCTCTCATAAATACTTGCTTAGTTTCTGAAAGAATCAGCTCTTTGAACAAATTGATTGAATCACTTATAAAGACTTGCTTCGTTTCTGAATGAATCAGCTCTTTGAACAAATGGATTGAATCTCTCATAAATACTTGCTTAGTTTCTGAAAGAATCAGCTCTTTGAACAAATTGATTGAATCACTTATAAAGACTTGCTTCGTTTCTGAATGAATCAGCTCTTTGAACAAATGGATTGAATCTCTCATAAATACTTGCTTAGTTTCTGAAAGAATCAGCTCTTTGAACAAATTGATTGAATCACTTATAAAGACTTGCTTCGTTTCTGAATGAATCAGCTCTTTGAACAAATTGATTGAATCACTTATAAAGACTTGCTTCGTTTCTGAATGAATCAGCTCTTTGAACAAATGGATTGAATCTCTCATAAATACTTGCTTAGTTTCTGAAAGAATCAGCTCTTTGAACAAATTGATTGAATCACTTATAAAGACTTGCTTCGTTTCTGAATGAATCAGCTCTTTGAACAAATGGATTGAATCTCTCATAAATACTTGCTTAGTTTCTGAATGAATCAGCTCTTTGAACAAATCGAGTCAATCACTTATAAATACTTGCTTAGTTTCTGAAAGAATCAGCTCTTTGAACAAATTGATTGAATCACTTATAAAGACTTGCTTCGTTTCTGAATGAATCAGCTCTTTGAACAAATGGATTGAATCTCTCATAAATACTTGCTTAGTTTCTGAATGAATCAGCTCTTTGAACAAATCGAGTGACTCACTCGTAAATACTTGCTTAGTTTCTGAGTGAATCAGCTCTTTGAACAAATCGAGTCAATCACTCATAAATACTTGCTTAGTTTCTGAATGAATCAGCTCTTTGAACAAATTGATTGAATCTCTCATAAATACTTGCTTCGTTTCATAAAGAATCAGCTCTTTGAACAAATTGATTGAATCTCTCATAAATACTTGCTTCGTTTCATAAAGAATCAGCTCTTTGAACAAATCGATTGAATAAATGATTCAATGACTCTCTCATTAAGACAGTGAGTTGTTGCCACCTACTGGTGCTTTCAGTTTAATATTAAGGGTATAATTTAGATTTTTTTATTAATTTCATATTTAAATATTCATTAATAACATGAATACCCATTTATTATCATTATTTATGCAAGGTTGAATCAACGTTTCTTTCTAAAGCTACTTTTTGTAATGTCTTTTCTCATCACAACACAGTAATGACTTGTCTAATAATAAATAATCTTTAGGCAGGTAATTTCTCAGCCAGAACTGATGTGCAATTAATTAGATTGATTAATCGGCACATCATTAATTAATCAGATTTAAAAAAAAATTTGGGAGTCCTAATTTTAAACATTAACATTATGATTTTCTGTAAAGTTGTTTTAAAACCATGCATATTGTGAATATATAAATTTGACTGCAGAATGCTGCCATTGACCAATCACAATCCAGTGAGTCGTGTCACATGATCTGAGATGGGTGGGACTCTTTTTATTTTTCATTACTTTTTCTTTTGGATGTGTTTGTGTTTCTGCAGGTCTGCTGCCGTCTCTGCAGGGCACGTCCAGTAACCCCTCCCTCCAGTCGTCGCTTAGCAACCCCAACATCCAATCATCTCTCAGCGCTCACTCGTTCCACAACTCGCTGAGCTCCGCCTCCCTGCATTCGTCCCTGAGCAACCCCTCCCTCCAGTCTTCGTTAAGCTCCTCCCCCTCGCTGAGGTCATCGCTCAGCAGCCAGTCGCTGCAGTCGTGGCTCAGTAACTCCTCCCTCAGCGGCTCCTCCTCTGCGCTGCAGCCGCAGACGAGCTCATCCCCGCGCAGACGAGCGCAGCTGACCCCGGTGATCATGCCTGCAGACACACGCAGACATCACCCCAAACAGTTCTCCCCCACCTCCTCATCCCTTAGCTCCATCACGCAGGTAAACACACACACACACACACCCACTCCCCCCTCTGCCCCCTCACGCACGCAAACACACACACACACACACACACACACACACTCACACACAGACACACACACACACACACAGACACAGACGCACTCACACACACACACAGACACACACACACACACAGACATGCAATCACCCACACACACACACACAGAC